GACGGGCGACGGCAGATATGGAATTCCATAGTGTAGCGCGTTTCCTGTAATAATGCCACTACGGTGGGTCTCGTGTGTCGGTGGAGGTAATAATAGCACTGATGCTTTGTTCACGTGATACAACGCCCCGGTCAGTTCCCCGCCAAGCATTAGGGCGTTGGTTCCTAGTCAATGACCATGGCGGCAAGCGACGAGCCCAGTTACGACAGAATGGATATTTTCCCGACCTCAAGGGGTCACCCAAGACGCAGTGCTCTTTGCCACGACGTCATGGTCGTTGTGATCGGGATTGTGGCCATCGTTGCCCTGGTGTTCTCGGCAATTGCCTTGTCTCGCCCGGGAACGACGGAAGTACAGCTTGACGGTGTGGCAGTAGGTACGTGAATACCGTAGGCCAACACGTGCGTTAGCAGCTGCACAGTGTAAGAAATTAAGATTGGGTACATTTACATGCTTACATGTTAAAAGTCAAAGCCCAGTGCACAGTGTAGCATATGCAGCAAGGTATGAGACGGAGAGAACCCCCACCCCTGCTTTGTGTTGGTCATTGTCTCGCAAGAATCTGGGGAGTTCCTTTCAGACATCTTGGGGGATGTGTTAAGTAACAATAGTCTGGAATGTGTATAGGGATTGGACATGTTCAGAGGGCTACCCCTCGGTCTCATTTCTTGATGGGTATACAGTGGGGGGTAAATACCCACCCACCCGCCGGGGGCACAACTGTTCCAGTGGGTATCGCCGATGAACTGTAGTTTGTACATTATTGTTGCGTGTATTTCAAGATCTCAAGTAATGGGGAGGTTTTTACTCAGCGGTGTGGGCCTAATTCCAAACGCATTCGGAGTTGCGCGTGGAAACCCTTGATCCCTCTCCATGGATAATTACAGTATGCTTGCAGTGACTTTCTATGTTATCTGCTACAGTGCTAAAGGTCATTTTTAAATTGGCCATCAGTAACCGCCCAGCAACTGCATTTGATGGACGCTAACTGTACCGTGTAGATGACTTGATTCATAAAAGTCAACTTCATGTACAGTGGTGTATATATTGCGTGACTGTTTAGCCAGTCGCCTGCCTGGGGTCACGTACGTTTAGTGGGCCCTGTGCAGGCTGTGCTTGCATATCGGTGGTGACCTATGTGAGGGATCGGTCCTGCCACTTCCCTTGAAGACCTTGTGTGTGAATAATTGCTAAGAATCTATCAAATGGTGATATTTAATAGCTTCTGGTAAGAAAGATCTCCGAAAAATAATCAAACTCAAAGAAGTGGAAAATGCCACTTTTACGCCAAAAGATAATTATGAAAAAAATTATCGCGTTTTTTTAATTTGTGTCTAATTTTCACTATTTTGCCGGGCTTATCTTCAAGTGACTTTGATACCACATGAAGGACTAGTAACTCTTATGATCAAAAAGTTTATTACTTCAAGTCAGAAAACCTTTTTATGAAGTTCACTTCGTTTTTCATTGGGACCCATTTTCCGTGTTTTTCTCCTTACTTAGCGCCAAATTTTCACACTTTTGTCGAATTCCCCTCAGATCATTGATGACACTGTCTGGAAGACTGATGAATCGTTTGTATCCATCAGTTCATTTCTTCAAGACTGAGATCCATTCGTCTGAAAAGCGGTTCGTTTTCATGCGGATTTCAATTTTCGTACTGAGTCCGACATGTCCAACAGCGATCAAAAATGAGATGTCCGGATTTGGGGCATGGCATACACGTACACGCACACACACCAAGATATAGATGCGAGTGCGTTTCGGGTTGACTTTTACTGCATGGCACTAATGCGTATAATGACGTCAAATTGCCCCACTAAAAAGCACCAACCGTTTACTTCCCGTTCTCATTCATGCGGTTTCCTTCTTGCATGGTACTTTCTCATTAGAACGTCCATGATATTTGTCACTATTCAAAAGTAGAGAAATATCAAGGAAAACCCCACACAATTAGAAAATATCCCCTGTAAAATGTTGGCTTCACTTCTAACTTCTGACTCTGTTACTTTGGAGGTACGTGAGATATACGGACAAAAATTTGGCAGAAAATGGATTTTTATTCTGTGCAAGTTAGCAAAAAGGACTTTGAGTGTTTAAGTACTAATCGGTATGGGGCAAACAACTATATCCGAGCTTGATGTTGATCAATTCTTTTTGGGGTCCACCTGTCCGAGTCAGAGACATTTTACTGGCTTCTGGCCGTAGTGGGATTCAGTACGCATGCGCACCAACGAAGTGAGGGGCGCGGCACGAACAACGTGAGGTCCCTTATTTCGCCCCTATTTTGTCAAGCCTGATTGGTTTTCAGAGTAAGTGGCGAAATAAGGGACCTGGCAACTATACATGTACATGTATACGGTCACGCATGGCATGTATTTACCAAGGTGGAACGTTATTGTCGTCACTGTTGTCTTTGGCAGGTTCTAGCCTAGCAAAAGATGACAAAATATGGATATTTGCGATTGGCCACGATGGTACCAACGTGGAGTATTTGTAAGTGCATGCTTTCACAATACATTTGTGTATACCCAAGACACACCCCCATTAGATACTTCCAAGGTACCCACTCCACAATTGATAGTACACTGTACATGTATTCACTGTTCATGTAAGTCGGTCATGTCATTTAGAGTATTTTCATTACGACAGATTTTTTTTCTTGCTTTCACTGACAGTGACAAAACGACTGGAACATTGAGGGGGTTCCATGTTGACATTGTTGACGCCGGTAAGTAAACAGGTGACAACAGCGATAACTAAAGCGACTGGTGGTCATTTAAGGAGGATCCAGAACCCAATTTTCTGGGGAGGGGATTATTTTTTTTTATTCCTGTGTATAACCTTTAATTCTACGTGTTAGGGGTGAGGCTAAATTTTGGAGCTTTGATACACTTTTAGAGATAAGGGAAATAAAACATCCCTAAATGTCCTTTCTCTCACTATTCAAACAATCGGGGAGGCAGTGGTGCGGCCTCAATAGCCAGTTCGGTACTTCAAAAAGACAAGGTTTGTTCGGGAATAAAGCACGCGCGTCACGGTGAGTTGGCATATATATGGCTGTGCTTATAGGACAGACAATCGCACACTGGTATACTGCTATATTGTTCCTGCATGACCTCTAGCCACGCTTACAGCTTTGGGCGCGCCCTGTTGGTGCGTTCGATTAGCTTCCCTGAATACACCAGTGTTACACTCGAGGGAAACCTCGAAATGAGGGTAATCGAACGCTGCAGTGTACTCGCCAAGTCATTCTTGGAAAAAGGTCAAGGCCCCGCCACGTTCCATCATGTAAGTCTATGCACGAACAGTCCATCCGTGACGTCATTACACTCGGGCAGCCTCCAGAGACCCGCTCGCCAGCTGGGGGTAGCAGTGGCTGACATCAGGGCAGGCACGAGAATCACGTGATGGCTCAACGAACGCTCTCGTGTAAGTTTGACTGACATGTGTAAGCTAATCGAACGCACCCACTGTCTCATCGGCCGCGTCCCTGGATCTGCCATTGGTTATCACAGTGCTGTTGACGATGTTGATTGTGTTCATTATTCGCCTTGAGCAGAAACGTTTACCCCCTCATCGGTTAAAAAGAGCCATGTTGGTTTGGAGGGTTGGGACTGTTCATTTTTGTTGTTTGATGATGCGACAGCAACGTGTCAATTTTATGGTCGTTTTTTGAAACCAGCGCGGTGCAGTTCCCACAAAAGAGCCTTCGTTGCTAGCAAACTTGGGCCCTCTCTTGGTCCAGCTCGGGACTCATGGTATACTGACGAAAAAAGGCAAAGGACAATACGGTTGCGAAACCGGGAACTCGACTCTGTATACATATAATCTCTTTCAAATCACTGGTTTCTATTTAGTGTGCCAAATGGCTGATAAAAATTGCCGGTTGATGTGGGATGCCTATGAAAACTGCTACACCTCAGACGAGGGGGAGTTGCCACGCCCTGGACAGGGACTGATTGGTCGTTGGTACGATGCATGCACTGGTAAGCATGCGGCCTCCTTACTTTGCTCTTGTGCATGCACATCAAGTTTTGCCCATCAGGAGTAAGTTATAGATAAGATTCTTATTTCCTGTGTTAAACTTACACCAAGCGACAGATCAAACCAACCAACACTTTGCTTTTCAGCATTTTGCAAAATCTAAAGAAGCGTCTATTCGCATAAAATTGATTAGAACAATCGGTCAAAGGTCGCAGACACCATTTTAGACAGAAAGGGTCTTCAAATCACGCACACTTTGACCAGACCAACTAATAGCAGTAACGTTACGCCTTACCAAAGGTATTGAAATATACATGACAAGGACACGATTGGTTAAATCTAGTCGTGTTTTGTTGAGTAGATATTCAAAACTGAATAAGACCCATTAGAGATCGCTGGGAGCATTCATGCGTGACGGGAAATGAATCAGACCACACAATATTGTAAGGTCTGCCCCCACTTGTGTTCTTAGCCTCACTGAAAATATTTCTATCCCCGGAATGATTGTCTCCAAGGCTGGTTTGCCACCCCTGAGCGCTCGGCGTCTGTCTCTTTCACCACGGCATTCCGTAAACCACTATCAAACGTTTTCTTCGTTAAGAAGGGCAACCCAAGAGGATTCGACGAATCTAACATCTCGGGCAAGAAAATTGCCTTCATCGACGGCTCCGCGACCAGTGAATTTTGTCTCCACCATGCTGGATATACCGTAAGACCAAAAAACTATAGTCCATCGAAAACACGCTTAACACAGAGCGTTTGTTCCGTGTACAGGTGACATAACACGCTAATCATGAAGGTCTGTATTTCATCTGGCGAGATGCCAAGTGTTAATATGAATTCCATCTGCTTGGCTCTCGGAGCATGTTATTTAACATAATGGCATCCTCTAGTACTTGTGTTTTCTCGACTCTGCATACCACAACATTTTTCATGTCTTGTAGAACTCGTTTTTGAGTCATTCTTTTTTCTTCTTCAAGGAGGAACAACTGACACCTGACCAAATCTTCCACTTCAAAAGCAAGAAAAGTTTGGTGAACGCTGTTAATAATGATCTGGTAAGCTAAACGCGAATGATGCTGATGCACATGTTCATCTCTTGAGGTCAATCTTAATTTGGTTCCAGAAGGGGTGCACTTGGGCGAGCACTTTAGTTTTCTCCTCGTCACTGTAAATACAAGTGTAAATGTTTTAACGCCTTTCAACCGCCTTTCAGGTAAACACTTCATGAACGTGTTGTAACCTAGGCCTATGCGGTTTGCAGTGTTTGAGCAGATGAGACCGACGTTTCCATGATTGTGGCTGAGTTTGTGCAAACCAGTTCTCGATTGGTGCCGGCGATCCAGATTTGTGTGAAACAAACAGGCCCATATTGTGTTGTATGACCACTGGATCACTGTGTATGTTAAATAAGGCGAAAGCATTCATAGCCATCTCATTCGAGCGCATTCCTGTTGAAGCTGTAAATGATTAATGACTTCCCTTATACAATTGAGATTGCCTTCCTTTTCCACAGGTGGATGCTGCTTTTTGCAATACCCAATACTTCAATCTGGATGAGGATTTACAGGTTGTGGGTGACCCAATTACAAGCTGCATGAAAGGAGGCGCCGGCATGATGGTCCGTAAAGACAGCCGGCTGCCAGATTGGTGGAACCCGGCCTTTGAACAGCTCAAACTGTCGTCGGAGTACCAGCGAATCTGCGATCGAGTTACCGAAGTGCACGGTGAGTACATGTACCTGGTTGACTGTTGGTGCCTTTGCCCAGCAAAGGCAAACACATTGAACGTTGTTGCTATCTTCGGTAGCCCCATATCGTTGGTTTCGTTTAATTCACCATTTTGTTCCATAGTTTCACCGTTCTGTCCCTGGTTTCGTTTGGTAGTTTCATCATTCTATTTGTCGAATTCGACATTCAATTCGCCAATTTCATCATCCAACTCGTCATTTGCTTTGTTCTATTCGGCAATTTCACTTTTTCATGATTTGTTAATTCATTTTGCCTTATTTGCCCGAACATGTCGTGAAAAATTGTTTCATTCCGCGAAAGCATAATTTTGCTTTGGATTTTTTCTCTTGAAAGTATTCGATTCCATGCGTTGGCACAGCTACTCGATTTTACGTGTACATGTAATAAAATTGTACACGGCAAACTTTCCTTCCATTCTACAAAACGTATTATTCTTTTCGGCAAATTCGTTGTTCTTTGCTGCATCAGTCCTTTTGATTGAAGAGACTTTTTGACCGTACCGGGTCAATCTGAAATTCTGAGCGCACGAGGAAGCCTCGAATAGCGACTAGACATGGATTTGGTTTGGTATTCTGCACAGTCGACAGAATAGAACTTGCTAAATGGAAAGGTTATGTTACAGAATAGAATGGTGAAATTGCCAAATAGAAAACTGAAATTTCAAACTTAAACGGTGAAATTGCAAGAAAGAGTGAAATTGACGGGTTTGGTGGAAAGATGCCTCATTGGCATCGACTAATCTCAAGATGAATGGCTAACCAACCGTTTTACCTAGCAATGAATCGATCTCTATTCGTTGAGATTATAGCCTCGTTTTGGGTCAACTTCGCCCATTCGCCGATAAAAGATAAATTGATGTGTATTCGGCTTTTCGATAAAACAATAAGACGAAAATGAAAAATATCGGAAATCTTCAGCTGCCGGAGTGTTCGAGATGAACCCCATGTCGCATACATGTATATGTATACTTTGTTCATACAGAAATTATCTTGGCCGTTCATTTGAGAATACCAGTGTAATGCACGGTCCACCTCATTCATCAGTCAGGCTTATGTATTTGTAGTTATCTTTCCGTTAACACAATATGGGAAATATTCAACAGGCTCCCTTGTATTGAGTCCTCGCACTTTGCAACATGTGCAGCATTTGCCTTCGAGCCTTGGTGTTATGTAACCAGACTGCTGAACAAGTTTTGATTTGCTGCTCGCATCAAGACGGGGGCCTGTTAAAATTATTACATTCTTATTTCTTTCCGTCTTTTATCTAGATGCATCAGAGAATGGCATTGATTGTGTTGATTGATTCCGTCGCAGATGACGTCATCAACAAAACGGAACAGCAGGTGGTGGTTGTTTTAGAGTGATACATTGTACAAGGGAAATCGAGTCTTCTCTTGTTTTTGATTTGATTATAGTTTTAGCTTGCAGCTGTTGTAGTGGAGCGATAAATGTTGGTATGTTTTTGAAAACTGTTAAAATAAATGTGGCAGAGGTGGAAGTTTTACGCACTTACTTTTGATCCAATCACAGAGGCAATCTGGATTTTTTCCTTTTTATATGCTTCATATTGCGATTTAGTGACCGTAAATGTAGAATAGGCACGTGTGTTTCCAAAGCTTTTGTGTTAAAATTATCTTGCGTTGGCTACCTTTTTGTCATCAAGTGGCTGAACATCTCTAATTTTTTAGAATGCGTTGTATACGTTTCAAGTAACATTCATAATCTACAGGTGGAAGTGGAATGTTTGAATCGAATTTGGTGTTTGCATACATCATCCATAAAGGGGAAGTTGGGAAGATACCAATACACCAGTAATTATTTGCTGTCCGTTTCACATTAAGCTGGAATTGCTGTTTTATAAGAATGGATGCTTCACATTTCATGTATATCAGTCTGAGTAATTTTTCATCGAAATAGGAGCAGCTCAGAGCATTATGACAAATCTTATTCATACATGTATTAAGTTTACTTTAATAAAGTACACGTGAAAAGATTTGACATGCCGACACATGAAAATCAGACAGTGTTTTGTTTGATTTACGTCACATCAGCAGCACTTGAAAAAGCTTGGACAATTTGTAATGTTTTAAAGTGGATCAAATACGGTAAACACAAAACAGTGATCTTCCATTGCAGAGCACCAGTTATTAATAAAGTTCTCCAGGGAGCGAGTCCGTATAAACAGGTTGGGCGTGGATGTCAACGCTGCGTGCAGTCGATGCGAGGTAATCTCATCAACAAAATTCATCGATGTGGATATGTTCAACAATTGAGCGCAGCATGGCTGTATGTTGAAAATAAGCCATGTCACTGTAACACATACACCCAGGAGCATTAACTATTATACAATAGTGCGTAAACCTGTGCAACATACGTTGTGCAACAGGTGTACAATGTATGTGGTTTCTGAAGGTTGAATGCAACCTTTTTTATTGATACTACCCTGCAACTTCGACACAAATCCTGGTGGATGGGAGTTATGTATCCCCCATACGTTTTCTCTGGAGGAGATCAACCATTGGATCATCCCCCACCTTTCTATGCTAAAAAGGGCGTTCAGGGTATAATTTCCAACTTCCCAACACTGTTTTGATGTTAAGGAGTGTAAGTGTACATAAGATGTTCATCGGTATCATGATCAGCGCTTCCTGGAGTTATGCGATGTCCGGCAGTTCCCTCGCCCACCCCAATCTTCACTGTCCCTACTCTGCTTTTCGAATTGTCACGGCCAGGAAATGTTTAAGGCATCCCCCACTACTTGGCACAAACTAGATTTACCCCACTGCTGCGGACTTAATGCCCGAGTAACTCCACATGGATGACAAGGACGTGGCATCTTTGAACGCCATGAGTCACTATGAGAGAATACGGGCGATTCACAGTAGTGCGCCTCCAAGAGTTTGCGACGCGTTGGCCAATCACAACGCGTGAAATTTGTCGACCCTTTCCAAACGCGCATTGGGTCGAGAAATTTCGCACATTGTGATTGGCCAACGCGTTGCAAACTCTTGGAGGCGCACTATTGTGAATTGCCCGTATTGGTCGAGTTCGGGCAGCCAGTTCTTGACACAGATTTCGTGTTCTCGCGCTCGAGCGGCGGGAACACGACCCAAGACACTGTTCTCAGTACAGGATCACACACCACCTCCTCGTCAGGATTTTACACGACCAAGCGGAAAATCCGTGAGATTTGATTTTTAATTAAACAGCTGCAAAAAGTATCGATATGGCTCACAAAGCCGGAGACAATGGAAAGTTTTGTAAAATTGATATTAATAATATTCCATGACAGACATGGATTTTTTTAAATGGAAATTAAAGAAGTAAGCCCAGTTATTTGACATTAACTCTCAAAAAATGCACAAGGACGCTGCCACGTTGCATGTTGCTTTCCACAAATAACCACCAGTTGTAATAACCGGGTGTACGTTCCCGGCGTTCGAGAGGCCGACCCACGAACACAAATCCAGCTGTTCGTGAACAAGCCGCCCGAACTCAGCCATTGCTAAACGTTGTTTTGGAGTATGTAATTATTTGTACGATTGGTAGGAGCATCAACTTAGAAAAAAATTGGGGGCATGATTTTCAAATTCCAGCTTGCATCGTTTTGAACTATAAATGCAAAGAGTCGTGGAAATGAGAAAAATATCAAGAGTCACTTTTCAATTCTTCAGCGATGCATTAAACGAAAACTTTACAATGCACTCACAATGCAGACATGTATAGCTAAACGTGTTTGACTTTGAAAAAACATTCGAATGTATTTGATTGAATAGTTGTATACTTTATAACCATTCTAAGGCAGCGGCATATCCAGGCTTTGGTGTCCGGGGCAAATTCAAAATCGAATGCGGCCCATTCAACATGATGCTGAGGAGAAACAAAAATATCGCCTTACTAACGGTCCCGACATCTTGCTTTGATTTGTTGGTGCTGTTTTCTTAGGATTTGGGGGCTAATATTTGACAAATAAATATACTTATGACATTCTTTCTCACTCACCTATGAAGCATTCTTCGTAAAAACAAATCCACCAGTGGGCAAGTTGCCCCCCCCCCGTTGATGCGCCACTGTTCTAAGGCTATTTCACAACAATCCATCTTTCGGTATAGGTATTTTTATCGTGGTTCATGCGATCTTAGCTTGAATTCTAGTCGAAATGTGCGCGTCAAAACCATCAGTTAGCCACTCGTTTGGCAATACACATGACACTATTGCCGTTGGCATGTTTTTGTTGAGCATATTTCGTACTTTCAGCTTATTCAAATTCACCTCCTTGATGTAAATTTGAACGACTAATCTACAATTTTAACATTATCCTTAGCAGATACATTTATGTCAGGTTACGTCGAACTCAGTTTATTCTGAGTAAATATTAGTCAGGCCCAGCAAGATCGAGATGGAGACCATGTTCTGAAGACGCCTGGCAACTTTGCTTCGTCTGCTTCTCACGGTAAAGCAGACGGACTTGTCAGCTTTGCATGTCAGCTGGCGGATGACAAGTACGAAGATGATGGCGTTGAAGAGGAGGACCAGCCCGATGATCAGCAGTTGACCGTAATAAAAGGCACTGCCAGGCTTCAGAAAGCAGCTGGAATTATCAAACAGAAGTTGAAAAATAGAGCTAGACGAAATCCGATATACCCAAATTGTAAATATTCTTCTGGTAACAGTTTGTGACATAAATCACTTCTTTTTTGCAAGGTTAACGGACTACCTCAATTTAGAAACAGTAATGTGACATCTGACAACCATTTTGAACAAAAAAACATTCAAATATCAGTTACCTTGTTGTGTTTTCATATACAGTGTAATCCACACCAAGTATAACACCTACGACTATCATTGGCAGCCCTATTGAAAAGAAAGACTAAATTTGGCTTAAATTTTAAATTTGGAACNTATTCTTCGTAAAACAAATCCACCAGTGGGCAAGTTGCCCCCCCCCCCGTGGATGCGCCACTGTTCTAAGGCTATTTTTCAATCCATCTTTCGGTATAGGTATTTTTATCGTGGTTCATGCGATCTTAGCTTGAATTCTAGTCGAAATGTGCGCGTCAAGACCATCAATTAGCCACTCGTTTGGCAATACACATGACACTTTTGCCGTTGGCATGTTTTGTTGAGCATATTTCGTAGTTTCAGCTTATTCAAATTCACCTCCTTAATGTAAATTTAAACGACTAATCTACAATTTTAACATTATCCTTAGCAGATACATTTATGTCAGATTACGTCGAACTCAGTTTACTCTGAGTAAATATTAACTGATAAGTACTAATTAAAGACATTTTTAAATCATACAGTTGAAATATTGTACAAACTATAAGAGCCTAGAACAAAACCTAAAAGTCTGGGTTTCTGAATGTTTACATCATTTTTAATATTATTTGTCTTGTCATTTGGTGCAAACAATGAACAATTTAAGATTTTTCAGTTTTTTATTTTGTTTGGACCCAACACATGGTGGTCTGGTACAGCGCGTTTATTTACGAAGTGCATCTGAATCTTCTTTCTCTTCTCATTCCTAACGAAATTCTATTTGTCTTTACTCGCTCGAAGTAAAGTCAATATACATGTGCCAGTTGCCGTTAACTTATACTTATACATCGTTATCTTTGCCTTAATATCAATTCTCAAGAGATAATCAAAGAGCCCGAGTTGGCTCAACTTTCGAGAGACAACCATCTGCCCACCGCTGGTAGATTTTACAGAGTGATCAACGGGGCACTTTCCTTAATGCCCCCTCCTTCTGTAGTATCGTTGTCGCCCTCTTTTGGTGAGGTGGTAGACATGACTGCATCGTCAGAGACTCTATCTTCTTTCCTGACTGTTTTGGCTCCCTCCCCTGACCCCTCTCCCTCTACCTCATCTGTGACGCCACCATTCGTGAAGGATGTCACCGTACCACGAGAGAAACCACCTTCTTCTTCCACTGTCTCCGAGATCAAACTCATCCCAAGCTCTTCTGTCACCGTCGTCTCGTTGTTACCCTCCACGTCGGGAATCGACAAAGCGTTCTCGGGGACCTCGAGTTGGAATTTGCGCTTGGACGTCGAGATATCGAGCCGGTACTCGTTTCTTCTTCTAGTCAGGTACCCTTGGCGGACGACGAACAGCAGGAAGATGAAAAGCCCCTGCAGGGAGTTGAAGGCGCAGAAGAGGATCTGGAAGATGAAGTTAGTGGACTCGACGACAGAGAAGAGACCGAAGATCCAGGTCAGACCCAGCAGGATCGAGATGGAGACCATGTTCTGAAGACGCCTGGCCACTTTGCTTCGTCTGCTTCTCACGGTGAAGCAGACGGACTTGTCAGCTTTGCATGTCAGCTGGCGGATGACAAGTACGAAGATGGTGACGTTGAAGAGGAGGACCAGCCCGATGATCAGCAGTTGACCGTAATAAAAGGCATTGCCAGGCTTCAGAAAGCAGCTGGAATTATTAAACAGAAGTTGAAAAATAAAGCTAGACGAAATCCGATATACCCAAATTGTAAATATTCTTCTTATAACAGTTTGTGACATAAATCACTTCTTTTTTGCAAGGTTAACTGACTACCTCAATTTAGAAACAGTAATGTGACATCTGACAACCATTTTGAACAAGAAAAACATTCAAATATCAGTTACCTTGTTGTGTTTTCATATACAGTGTAATCCACACCAAGTATAACACCAACGACTATCATTGGCAGCCCTATTGAAAAGAAAGACCAAATTTGGCTTAAATTTAAATTTGAAAA